TGTAGGTCTATGTAGGGCTATGTGGGGCTATGTAGGGCTGTGTATGGCTGTGTGTGGCTATGTAGGGCTATGTATGGCTATGTATGGCTATGTATGGCTATGTAGGGCTATGTAGGGCTATGTATGGCTATGTAGGTCTATGTGGGGCTATGTAGGGCTATGTAGGGCTGTGTATGGCTTTGTATGGTTATGTATTATTTTGGGCTGTGTAGGGCTATGTAGGGCTATGTAGGGCTATATGTAGGGCTATGTATGGTTTTGTATGGTTATGTAGGGCTATGTAGGGCTGTGTATGGCTATGTAGGGCTATGTAGGGCTATGTAGGGCTGTGTATGTTTATTTAGGGCTTTGTAGGATTATGTACACCGCTTCTAGTAACTAACGGGGAACCACTATGTGATGCTTACACCACGTACCTACCCCTGGTCGTGCCGAAAACAACAAGTCGTGCCGAAAAAAACAGTCGTGCCAAAAAAAACAGTTGTGGTGAAAAAAAAGTCGTGCCAAAAAAAAAAAATCGTGCGGACAAAAAAATTACATGCCACAAAAGAAAGTCTTGCCGAAAAAAAACAGTCGTGCCCAAAAAAAAACACGCTGAAAAAAACAGTCGTGCCGAAAAAAAAGTCGTGCCAAAGAAAACGGTCGTGCCGAAAGAAAAAGATTCGTGCCGAAAAACAAAAATCGTGCCGAAAAAAACAGTCGTGCCAGAGAAAACTGACGTCGTCAAAAAGAAACTTGATGAGAAAAATTAGGTGGCACTAACTGGGCTCCGTTTTTCACTTGGGCAATTTCCTCATTCCAGCCCCCCCCCCCCCCCCCCCACCCCACCCCCCTTAACCCCACACAAATACAAAACAAAAAAACCACAGCGTTTTCTTTCTACAGATAAAAGAAAAACCAGTCACATCAAAATGTATTTCCACCCTACCATACAAACAACATTATTACATAACACCAACACACTTAAAAAAAACGGCGAGGCGAAAGCAAAAGAGTCGGGCCAGAAAAAGAAAATCGGGCGGGAAAAAACCCGTGCGCCGAAAAAAAAATAGCTAGTCAAAAAGAGAAGCGATGTGAAAAACTTGGTGGCCACTAATGGGGCCCGTTTTTTACTTGGGGAATTTTCTCCATCCCGCCCCCCCCCCCCCCCCCACTACGACCCATTAACCATTCAAGCAAAAAGATATAATAGAGTGGCATTTTTTTCCCTTATAACAGTATAACGTGTCGTGACTAATTTCTGATCTTCATCCTACCGCAAATACGCTATTAAAGTCTACCAAACTTGACAGGGTCAATGTATTTGTCATTTACGTTACGTGCAGCAGTTCCCATTTTTAAAAAATTCACAAAACAGCTCACATTTAAGTTTTGTTTTCGTTTCATATTGCATTTAAAGTCCTTGTGACTATCCAGGTGTTATTTGTTTACATTTGATGGGTGATCTACCACCCCGTAGGTGACTAATTTTTGAACAATCTTTGATCTAACCGGAAATTCCCAAAACTATTGTCGTTTTACGTCATATAAAATCAACTTCCGCTCTTGTGTAACCTCCGTGCCCGTCTCATATTCATCTTATATTCCTAAATTACCTAGAAATGCTTTTTGGGAAACTTAAGTATTTTAAAACTATACAAGAAACTCAGCTGAAATTCCCTTCTGACACTTGACAGAGAAATGTCGTTCTAAGCTCGATTGCTCCCTCGGACAACAATTAAAACTGATCTGCAGTGAGCAATGTTTATGTAGGACTTACTGTCTTAAGTCCTTTCCTATACATTGGATAGATAAGGCTCCATAAGTGACCGAGCCAAAATCTACCGTAACATTCTTTTCACACCCTCTCTACGGCAATACCAAAATTGCATGTTTTGTATACCTTTGACCTCGATTCCCTCGAAGTTGCTGTCTAAAGGAGCACACATTATCAATAGGAGCTGTTTCTATTTATTCGGTCCTATCTCAGGTATTTTTCAGCAAAATGATTATGAGAAAACCATTTTAGTCCTCACAAATTGTTACGCACACTGCAACATAGTAATTTACCCACTTAAAATGGAATGAGTGAAATGTCTATTATCGAGATTAGTGTCAGTCAAATCTCTTTTGAATGATATCATATACGAAACACGTGCTTGAGACTAATCTATCTAAGGCCTCACGTGCGTTGAGACCTTATTCTTCGTCACGCCTATCTATTTTTAGCCTGCGAACAGCAGACGCATTTCCGGTCGTCGCTTCTCTCCCTCCGAATGAAGCGACGACCGGAAATGCGTCTGCTCAGTGTTCGCATGCTAATCTATTTTCTAAATGAACGATTTGGAAAACACCGCCATCCATCTTGAACCACCAGCAACTTACTGATCCCACTCCTGTCTCCTTACATTTTAAACAAGCTGGATATTTCATCAACGACGTCATTCTAATCCCACTTGAACTCATACGCAGCAACCGTGATGCAGTGAGAAACGGACTCATATCATCTCCTCTAATATGATACCCCCTAATCTCCAAAACCAATAACAATCCATCGCTTCTATTGTCACATTTTCAAATTCGTATTTGAAATGAACTTTTAGCTTTATTTTCATTTTTCTTTTAGCCCCTCAAGAAGGTTTGTTTTCAAACCGAAATATTGGGCAATTTGTTTAAATATATATTTTTTGTTTTATTCTTTTATTTGCTTCATCGTCATCGCCTTGCCGTAAGGATCAGTTTGCCGTTTCATATTTTTCTACAAGTTTAGTTGTACTGATCTAGGTCTACAACTGGGAGATCCGGCACCACTCATTGATAACTTAAAAAGTACCATGAAGAGGTGTGGAGGTGTTGTACTAGAATTGTATGAGCTGGTGTTACAGTGTCTAGCGAAGAAGAATGGGGGGAGGGGTGGTGGTGAAGCAAGTTAATTAACAAAACAGGTGGCCCGGGACAGGTGCAGAGTTTGTTTTTTTTACTGACCCCACTCCCACACCCTCATTCCCCCAAAAAAACCTAGGAAGGAAACTGCAGTCCCGGCAACTTCAAAAATGTACCCATTTTTCTAGTTAGTTACTCTGTCCAAAATTTTTTCAGCTCATTTTCCTTGAACTTACTGAATTGTTTTTAGATGCTTGTTTTATCTTCACTTAGCCGTTTGGTAGACAATTGAAACTCATAAAATCTTCACGAACATGTTGCAATATTTTGTTGCATGAATGTCCGTTGAAAGAATAAGACTAATTGTCACCTGAATTATCGCTGAGAAAGTTTCAATTGAACTCATCCATGTCTGTCGTCATTCTTAAATGTAATCGTTAACACAGCGAAGGAGCCCGAAATTGCAAAAGCTACTCAAAGACGGCAAAATACCCATCGAAAGGGCGTCCGCCCCGTCCGGATCCAGTCATTGCGTTCCATGCATGGTCAGATCGTTCTAATGTAGATCGTTTCGCGCATAATATGGAACCTTTATGAGCCTTTTTTTAGACAACTTATGTGGAGGAGGAGTCGAACGTATCCCCCCTATGAGATATACAGTTGACTTCCGACAACTGGAACCCTCGCTAACTCGAACCTCGCACTTATTCGAACCAAAGTCGATTTCCCCTGGATTTCCTTCATACATTTACTGTAATTTGTACCCTCGGTAACTCGAACTCTCGATAACTCAAACCTCCCGCTAACTCGAAGTAATTTTTATACACTACAGACCCGGCCTTCAGATCTCTGATTTCTATACCATATTTACCCACGATCACTCGAGCCGTGTTATAAGCGCGTGAAAAGTAGGGAAAAACCGTGTATTGAAGTCCGAAACATTGAATTTATTTGAAACAACCGAGCCAATTCTTTGTCTTTCCTTTTTTTGTCACTCCAGTTTAGTGTCCATCCTTGTATACTTTGTTGCTTAATTGCATTCTCTCCACATCCGTTTGTTTATTTGCTTCCAACTCCCGATAACTCGAACTTTTTTGGATTTCCCTAAAAGGTTCGAGTTATTGGGAGTCGGCTGTAGTACACGGTATGACTTTGTATGTACACTGTTACTTTAAGTGATCTAATAGACGCGCGGGAGCCCAGGCTGGGGTGTTTAGTCATATGGAAGGCGTCTAAGAGATAGAGTCGTTTATTTACAAAACTGTAAAACAAAAAAACTCCTCAAAACTAATATGCTTTCGGTTAATACATCACCACGGTTTATTAAAAGCAGACTTTCCAGTCCACCCATTGAAACCTCAGTATAAGCATTTTGGAGATCCATATATGTTTTTTAAAGCTCAAATACGATGTGTGGCAGTCCTTACTTCGAGTGACCCGACATTGAGCACGATGCAATGCGCAAACTCTTATTAAACAAGCAAGACACTGAATAAATTGAACGAGCCTGCTCTTTTTTCCCATTTCCCAGTAATTTGGAGCAATTTTCATTTACTAATTTTTTATTTACATGTTTGGTACAAAATGTTGTTGAAAAGACAGGTTTGAATTTGTAGTTCCTAGCCCATACTAACCTCGTCTTTTTCTCCTTCCTAAGGAGTTCAGTGAGCTCCCTTAGTCCACCCCTGTGGAAGAATTTGGGGCCTGTGAGAAGGTTAAAATGTTCTTTCTTTTCACTTCGCTTTTTTATGGCGTGTTTCAAGTATAGGCAAACTTTAAGGATACTCAGGGGCATCCGATAGCCTCCCACGTCCACAGACGTCCTCTGGGCTTTAGCCTGTTTTAGGCGTTTAGATAGTGGAGTGCGTCGCGAAGAGAGCGGGAAAACGTTTTTTTTCTTGCTCACGGCTCTTTGCGCCGTCCTCACAATCTGAATGCCTGGAACAGGCTATTTGGGCTTCTTTACGTGTTGCTGCCCCATGAATATGGGACAAGAAGGCGTGACGAGGCCCTGAGAAAGTATGCGCGGGAGGCTAGGGCATCTGACCGTTATGACAGTTAATAATGTCCTCCCCATGGCTATAGGTAACCCCGATGATATTGAATAATACCAATTTCAGCACTGAAACACACGTACCAACTCCGCCGTATGGCCAGTACCTTACGCATGCGCACAACCATATTAACCAGGCAGTGGCAGCCATAGACAGCTGTTTCGTCCTCATTAGGAACGGCATCAGCATGGCATATCCCGATGATATGGCACTGGGTATACAAAAGCCCTTTCCATACCGAGGAGTTGGTATAATATGACCCTCATTTATTTTATAGTTTACCTGCATCCTAAGCGGGAAATGTGTCACAGATGATCCCCTTTGCTCTCCGGCCACTGGAGCCATTATCACAGAAGGCCGATACTCATTCACAGCAGGGATTGGAGATGGCAGGTGGCATTTACACGGACAATTGATGGGGCATTCTTGGCCAATATGGGCACTGTTAGTTTTAGATTGAAAACTGAATACTACTTGTTTTGCTAGATTACTTAAGCTATTCAGTTCCTCTTCTGTACACTCTTCTTTAACTGAAGTGAGTCCGTATAATGGTCTTAGCTCAGAGGAAACACTCATCGTGAAATGCTCGACACCTGGAGAAGGACTGGGGTGATTAATCTAAATAAGAAAAACAAACAAAGAACAAACATTAATACACATTGCATGAAAACGAACGTCAAAGCACCCGCGTGGAAAAGTACTTTTTAATTGACTTTAGTTGCCTGTATTACAGACTTTCCCAATATTGCCTTATCACAGGCCCACCCTGTAAATTATCTTTTGAAGTTAGCATCAGCGAAAAATTAGTGGCTTTTGTAATAAATCATTCCTCAGGTAAAACGACATTATGCCTTTGAATACAGCAGATATCTACATAGTATTATTTTTCCAAAGGGTACGTAAATGCAATATTTTTACGTTTTTGTGGGGGTTTATCTTATCGGGTGTAATGAAAAGTAATGTCAAGTTAAAAAGTGAAACTATTTAAACAGACTGGTATTCATACGGTCTATGCATTTCAGAGTAATATTCTTTACATTAAGAATATAGAATTACATTAACAAACAAGAAAAAGAAATTAGAAATCGTCATTAAAATACAAATAGCGAAAAAAAAAATGTTCAGGGATTCACTGATTGCAGTACAGAACTGATAGGATTAGGTGCACTTTTCTGATTGGTCAGAGAACCGACTTAAACACCATGCACCAATGAAATAACACCTTAGGCCGTAGACTAGAGAAGCAGAACAGCTGTAATGAAGCATGGATGAAAAAATAAATTTAAGGCCCATCTTAATTGACCAAAGACTATTAAACCAAGACTATTAAAATCAGCAATAAAAATACCGAATATGGTACCTTCTAGGTCCGTGCACACTTCGGCCAATCTAATTTTCCATTTTTCCAATAAAAACGGAAAAAGGAAATATTACTTATCTTTATCATATTTGCATATTTCAAAGTACAGAAAAGTACAGAGTCAGGAAAATCGATCATTTTTTCATTTTTCTAATTTTGAAGTTAAACTGAAAAATACAAAAAATACTGTTAATGGATAAAAGCGATATTTTGCTATTTTCATTTTCTTGATATTGTTAGAAAAGTGAGAAAAATAAGAGTCCTAGATCATTTTCTATTTTTCTTTTTTTCCCAAAAAATAGAAAAACAGAAAAATGAAAAAATGATATTTATTCGAACCATTTTTTCATTTTTTCCATTTTGTTCAAAAAATGAAAAAATAGAAAAATGGCATACCTATTGCCTAATTTTCCATAATTCCATTTTAACAAGAAAAATGAAAAAAAATGACAAGTGTTGCGAATAATTTTTCCATTTTTTCAATAAATACAAATCAAACAAACAAACAAAAACGGATAAGTTTTCATCTTTTGTTTTAATGAAAAATAGCAAAGAAAAATGACAAATCATGAACATTTACCAACAAAGAAAAGAAAAACCTAATCCACTTTAGACTCACTAGTTTTGTTAGACGATTTACACAGGGTCGGCGGAGACGTGGGATGGGAAGGGTGGGTGGGTGTGCTTTAGTTCTCGGAATGCGAAAGTAGTTTCATTCACGTTTGGATTTGATTAGCTGATTCCTTTACCTCATTACTTAGGACTCACTCTGTGACCCGTTCTAACACTGTGTCACAATAAAGTGTTCCTGTTCCATTCAAACTGTAGAACGTTTCCCCATACTTGTCGCATGGGTTTCCCGACATTAGCGATCTTTGCTCTCATCTTTCCAGGGCTGAGTTGCTTAAAAGGTGGATAACGCTATCCGCTGGATAAATAACTATCCAGTAGATAACGCAATTGGTTTCCATAAAATACATAAAAAATTATCAGGCCGCTGGATAGTGATTTATCCGGTGGATAGTCGCTATCCAACGTTTAATCAAATGTATGAGCAAATGTATGGGCCAGATCATTAAGATGTTCTCTCCCGCGAGTGTATACTAGCCGCCTCGCTATGTTTCTCCTCCATAATATTAATTCAACATACTTTACTCTTGCAATCCTAAAACACCCGTTCTGCGGCAAGATCCGTTATTTCGGCAGGCTAAGCAGTCTACTTTTGAGCATCTATTTCATTTAAAAGCGTCTGACCTCTTCACTGGCGTGCTCTTTTTTTATTTTGTGCATGTGACTGTTCAACGACCTTCTTTTTAACTCCATCCCCTTAATCTCTCTCACGAACCGCTTTTTTTGTGCTGGAACCATACTGTTGCTGGCATGAAAACCGTTGAGTTACCACCCCCTTTTTCCCGTACCAATTTTCACGCCTTCTCCTCCTGCCACGTCCACGGCCGGTACGTTACGGTTTTCCCGCCGCTTTCATCCACAGTCGACTCCCGACAACTCAAACCTTCAGGGAAATCGAGATCAAAAGTGAATGTAACTACGTCCGCTTCTCGAAAACTAAGCCCCCCCCCCCCCCCAAATTCCCCCACATCTGCGCCGACCCTGGGTAAATCTTCTAACCAAATTAGTGCGTCGGTAGTGGATACGAATTAGGTTTTTCTTTTCTTCACCGTTAAAATATTCAAAACTTCTCACTTTTCTGCGCCATTTTTCAATAAAATAAAAAAAGAAAAACTGTCTGAAAGGGTGTATCGTTTTAAAGTTTTACTATTTATTAAAAAATGGATAAATAGAAAATGACTCGCAACACTTGTCATTTTTTTCATTTTTCTTATCAAAATGGAATTATGGAGAATTGAGCGATAAGTACGCTTTTTTTCTATTTTTTCATTTTTTGAACAAAATGGAAAAAAAGAAAAAATGGTGCGAATAAATATGATTTTTTTCTTTTTTCCGTTTTTCTATTTTTGGCGAAAAACGGAAAAATAGGAAAATGAGTTAGGAATTGGACATTATTTCATTTTTGTCATTTTCTAACAATAGCAAGAAAATAAAAAATAGCAAAATATCTCTTTTAGCCGTTTACAGTATTTTTTGTATTTTTGAAGCGGACTTCAAAATTAGAAAAATGAAAAAATGATCAATTTTCCTGACCATTTTCTTTTTTTCTATTTTTGTCTGTACTTTAAAATATGTAAATATGATAAGGATAAGTAATATTTCCTTTTTCCGTTTTTATTGGAAAAATGGAAAATTAGATTGGCCGAAGTGTGCACGGACCCTTCTAGTCCCTTTCAACCTTTTGAGCAACCCCCCCTTCCCTCCTGCTCAGTTCCAGATCAGTTTTCGACTGCCGTCGTTCTAAGTTTATGAACTCGTGACCTTTCGGTTACATGCAACTTAATAAATCATAATCGTAAACGAGGAGGGCTACAGAGTCTTACTGGAATAATATTTTCACAGTTGAACATGCAGCTGAAATCTGGTTTTTAACTGGTAAGCAAATTTGTCGAATAATATAAGTCATATTAATCTATTGTTGGATTCTTTTTGCCACGATTGCTGCTGTCAAAGTAGACATTGTGCAAAACAATCCCCCACCAACCACCCACACCTAAATCCAAACCCACATCACTGCCGCTGAATGACTATGTCAGTTTGCGAAAGCACATTTTAAAGGATAAGCTGCTTTCCACGGCTGTTTTAAATTGCACAGTGTTAACGAAGTGCATACTGGTTTTCCCCAGCTTTTCACACGGCTAAACACAACAGGTAAAAAGGCAATTCTTAGAACAGAACGTGTAAAAGCCGTTTTCATCATGGCGTCAATTTACAGTCGAGTACGCTTTAGTAACCAGAGTGCTTCAGGATTTCGTTTTCTGTGCCCAAATTAGGCTTGTCCCGGGGGCAAATGAATTTGAATAGGAGGGAAAGAGAAAAAATTCTAATGGTAGTTTTAAAATGACTCCATTGGCAAAAAGATCTGTTCGTTTGGTTTGAGCCATTTGCATGTGCCACATCAATACCGAGGGATCGCTTTGTTTAATTAACTACAGTTCATTTGTTTCAGTATTTTGAGTCCTGGGGAACCTGAGGAGTAGTCAGATGAATATATTTAAGTCCAAGCGCCTGCCCTAGGTATGTACCAATTACTTACAGACATTTACAAATGGTATAAAGGCTTGAATGTATTTCTTGTATTTAATTCACTTCTTGGTCGCCATATTTAACGCGATTACAGCGTGAAAACCCTGAAAACGTGCACTGCTCGATATAATACCTTATATTTAATTCTTTGTTTTTATTTGTTGCGAAGTAAGGGCCGTTGTTTTCCCTCCTTTTGCGATATTTCAAAATATGGTGCGAAAGGTTTCTGGAATACAAATGATGAAGCGAAACAAACCTTAAGCAAAACAGACCTGTGAAAAATTATGCATTGACCACCTGTGAACTTCGTTGTCAAAACGTTTTTAGCTCAAATCAGCGTACTGCGAGTGTTTTAGTAACTCTTTTCTGACATATACTAGCTTTGTTTTGACTCCCAATTCGTTGGTAGATCGCTCAGTGGTAAAAAAAGACTCCAGTAGAATGGCATTGAAAATAAATTTCTGGCTATAAGACATCACGCTGCGCATTTACATTTCCAAACTTAGGAAGTCTTTTCAAACGCTACTTAAAGTTGTTATTAGAACACGGACTTTATGGTTATTTCAATCATTAACCAAGGAAAAATTGTTTTAATCAGAAAGTGCCCACCCATATTAGTAAGCCCCCCCCCCCCCTTCCTTGCCCCCCACTTCATGACATATTTTGGTGCTTGTCAGAATCACACAACAGAGGTCAAAAGAAAACACACTCTTGTACGTAGGGGATATAAAACAGTGCACGCAGTAGTTCACGATGTGCAATGGTAGAAACTTGCCGTACCTCTTAGTGATCATCGTTTAGAAAAGGTCTTACATTTACTTCTTGAGAACTAAACCTGTTTGTTTGGAATCTTTGAAACGGAATCATAATGATACCGCTTCGCCTATCTTGAATATTATAGTACTGTGTTTTGTCACGAAGTCAGTCGGCAACATTGAGTACGTGATTGGCAGTGATTGTGGTTTCGGTTGTATTTTAATGTTTCTTCGCCCGTATTTTCGATTAGTGTGATAACCATTCAAGAGTGTAGAAATATTCTGCATAGGGGTGTTCAGTTCAGTTAATTTTCCCTCAATATTTTGACTAATGCTAGGTTACAGAC